AGTGGGAGCACTGTGATGTAATCATTTGCTAATTCATGTGAAACACTTAGCACAGCTCTTAGTACCTTGTGAGCACTCCCTGGATAAACTTCAACTGGTGGAAGTCATAGATTGGAGCCAGTACTGACCCAGCATATGGTATGCTCCTTGGCAAAAATAAATAAATAAATAAATAAATAAATAAAGAGAAAAATTTCCCAGCCCCATAGTTGCCCCCAAAAGAAGACACTGTCTTGCTTGTCTAGTTCTTCAGAACCAACATGGAAAGTGCGAGATGGAAAAGCACAAAGATACCAAATCTTGCAAAGCCGGGGTAGAGTCTCACCCACCTACTCACCAGCTGTGTGACCTGGGACCGACTCTTCGACCTCAGGATCTTAGCATCCATCCACATCTGTAAAAAGGAGACAAAGCATCCACTCTGCCGGGCTGCCGACAAGATCCAGTGAGCTACATCCTGTAAAGTGGCTGGCAGGATTGAGGGGCCCCAGCTGGTCGCATCTTGCTCTTCTCCTACCTCTCCTAGGGGCTGCCAAGTCATCCACTGCCATTGAGATCATTTTTTTAAAAAATCCACTGAAATCTGCTGTGGGCAGATCTCAGGGGTCACTCCTCCTTGGTGGTGGAAGGAGGGGGTGAAGAGTCACTGGACACCTGCCCTCCCTTCACAGCCAAAGTCATGTTGCAAAGCCAGTTCCATAAGCCTCATTGCTGCAATTTCTTTCCTTATCTGAAATGAAATTAGGGAAGGAACGCAGTCACATTGTGCCTATGTCTAGCTTCTGTTTTGTTTTGGTTTATGTTTATTATTTATTGATTTGCATTTATTAGGGGGAAAGGGATCTCTCAAATACTGGCTTGCTCCCCAAATGTGCACAACAGCCAGGCTGGAGACAGGAGCGTGGAACTCATTCCGGCTTCCACATGGACAACAGAGGCCCAGCTACTTGAGCCATCATCTACTGCCTTCCTAAGGGCACATTAGCAGGAAGGTGGAATCGAGAGTGCAGCCAGAACTGGAACCCAGGCACTCCAACAGGGACACAGCCATCCCAAACGGCACCTTAACTGCGGCACCAAACACCCACCCCATTGTCCAGTATTAGAAGAAAGCACAAACCATACTCACATAAACCCATTTTCACAGAACGGCAGCTGAAGGGACCACAGCAATCAAACCACGCGCTCCTGTTCAAAGATGAGCACCGAGAACCAGAGAGACAGAATGCCCACTAAAAGGGAGTCAGACCTGGCCGGCGCCGCGGCTCAATAGGCTAATCCTCCACCTGCGGTGCTGGCACACCAGGTTCTAGTCCCGGACGGGGCGCCGGATTTTCCACCTCCATCCTCAAGGCTCTGGGCTGCAGAAGGATCTCCATCCATGGCTCGCTCTATTCGTCCATCCACCCACAGCCCACTCACCTGACATCCACTCATGCTGGCCTTTGCCGCTTGCCCTGTGCTAGGCACTGAATTGGTCTCTGACACATGGTGGCTGCACAGTAAGTGTCTGTTGAACAAATGATGGATTTCCCATCTTCAGTGGCGCTTCCACCTGTAAGTACTGGGTCATCTTGAAGATGTTAAGGGAGCTAAAGACTCTGTACAGGGGCCAGAGCCGTGGTGCAGTAGGTTAATCCTCTGCCTGCGGTGCCAGCATCCCATATGGTCGCTGGTTCAAGTCCAGCTGCTCCTCTTCCAGTACAGCTCTCTGCTATGGCCTGGGAGAGCAGTGGAGGATGGCCCAAGTGTTTGGGCCCTGCACCCACATGGGAGACCCGGAGGAAGCTCCTGGCTCCTGGTTTTGGATTGGCTCAGCTCTGGCCATTGCAGCCATTTGGGGAGTGAACCAGCAGATGGAAGATCTCTCTCTCTCTCTCTCTCTCTCTCTCTGTCTCTGTCTCTCCCTTTCACTGTCTGTAACTCTACCTCCCAAATAAATAAATAAAATCTTTAAAAAAAAAAAAAAAAGGCTCTGGGCCGGCGCCGCGGCTCACTAGGCTAATCCTCCGCCTAGCAGCGCCGGCACACCGAGTTCTAGTCCCGGTTGGGGCGCCGGATTCTAGTCCCAGTTGCCCCTCTTCCAGTCCAGCTCTCCGCTGTGGCCCAGGAAGGCAGTGGAGAATGGCCCAAGTGCTTGGGCCCTGCACCCGCATGGGAGACCAGGAAGAAGCACCTGGCTCCCGGCTTCGGATCAGCGCAGCGCCAGCGTAGCGGCCATTGGGAGGGTGAACCAATGGAAGGAAGACCTTTCTCTCTGTCTCTCTCTCTCTCACTTTCTAACTCTTCCTGTCAAAAAAAAAAATAGAATTCTTCCATTCTTAGTTTAAAAAAATTATTTTGAAATCCATGCATAATACTTTCATAATACATGTTTTCCATGAATTTATTGAAGCCCTCTCATGGACTCCTTCTCTCATCATCACCCTTAGCAGGAGACGCTATGTGGTGGCATCACACAGAAACAACACTGGGCATGGAGTCCCAAGACCCAGACCCCAACTCTGAGCAGCTACTCCTGAGTGGCTACAGAAAGACCCTTGAACTTCAGTTTTCCAACCTATACAACAGGGAAAATATTTAACTTACCTGTTTCACTCAACTGCTTTGTATATTAGAGGGAGCAGAGACAGAGAAACTTCTAGAAAGTATACTACGGTAAGAGCTTACAGAGACGTCTGTTTCTCTGCCTCACAAATACGTAATAAAATCTGTTGCCTTTCAAAAGACAGGTGTTTCTTGAACAATATACATGACTAGTACGTGAAGGAGACAAGGGAAAAGAAAAGTGATCAGCTTTTCTGCATGCTTGTCCTGACCTCTGTAATCTAACTGGCTGCGATTGCCCCAGATTTGTTCCACCTTAGCAGAGATTAAATTTATGGATTTGTGGCATCACATGTCATCCCAGCCAATCCTGACCCATATTTTTCTCCATTGGGTGCATGTAACAACAGTACCAACTGGTGTTGTAACCTTAATTGCTTGCAAAGTGTTTTGAAATCCTTAGATTAAAAACTCGGCCAAGTCCAAAGTGTTAGCATTCTGGATGCCCAAGGAGATACGCTGAGCCCTGTCTAGGTTCACTCAAGCAGGGAGACACTCAGACCTACCCGTTCCAGAGGCTGCTCCAGCAACATCAAGTTTAAGGTCCCATTCATGGGATGCCCCCAGCCCCAGGCTGTCTCCTCGTTTCTAAACAACCCAAGCATTTGGCGACTTTCCACGTTGCTTCCGATGGGCTTTCCCCATTTCTTTTCTGAACTTCCTAGTCCACAGGGTCCCCAGTCAGTTGTGCTTACCCCGATGTCACAGGTGTGCTTTCCTGGGCAGCCTCAGCCTGGTCTTACAGGTGTCGCCTCCGTGCACCTCCTCACGTGAGCCTGGAGTGAGAAGTTAGTCTGTGTTCCAATTTTTGCCGTTTAGAGCTAAAGCTCTGTCCCACAGCGATTACGCTGGGAGCAGGTGTCAGGTAGGGGCTGCACAGGGCTCTGGGGGTCTTGTCTTTTGCTCTCTAGATCTACTGGTTTCGCTAGTCCACTCGGTTTGTGAAAATTCACCCAGCTGCACACTTAGATGTGCTATTTTCTGTATATTCGCCACACTTTATACCATAAAATATTTGAATTGATCCAGATGCTAATTTACCTTCTAAGAGTTGCTGAAGTAACAGGGAAGCTATTCACCTAAGTCAAAAATCCTTTCTCTACCTGTGGGACTCAAATGAACGTTGCCTTACTTTTTCTTTGCTTCCATTCCCATGTTTACACTTACAGAGGGCAAACGACAAGGAAATGCCTCAGTAGCCATTTTAATTAGGTCTGATGTGGGGGAGCGCCCAGGATGCCTTCAGGGACCCATGAGAACCTCTCCAAGAACCACAAAATCCTGTTGGATATGCATGACGTTGCTCCAAGGAGTGCTCGCAGCTTGTGTGAAGTCTTCAGGGGTGGGGGACCCAGAAGAAGACTAAAACCCACGAGGATTTGCAACTCAAGGCTTCTTAACTCCAAATTCAACCCTCAGCACCCACCAACCCAGTTTCACCCAATGGGTCTCACCTCTCAAAGAGAATTTGCAAAAAAAAAAAAAAAAAGTGAATGTGCCCATTTAAATGGGGAAAAAAAATAAAAGCAGGCAAGTTCAAGTCCACCAAAGGTGACAGACTGTCGCTCCCCCTCTTCGTGGAGGAACGACACTAAGCCCTGCCTAGGCTTCATATCCGAGTCACGGCACCATTATGTCGCTCCCCCTCTTCGTGGAGGAGCAACACAGAGTCCTGCCTAGGCTTCATATCCGAGTCACGGCACCATTATGTCGCTCCCCCTCTTCGTGGAGGAACGACACAGGACCCTGCGCTGTTCTTTCGTCTGCTCGGCCCTCCCCGGGTTTGCTGCTGGTTCTTCCCGGGTTGGCTACTATCCCTTCCACCTCCGTGGAAGGGCAGTTCCCCCCGGCCGCATTCCCCACTTCCGCAGGGGAGCGGCACACCGCCGGCCGGCTCTCTCGGGGGCTGCACAGGTGTTCCCCTTAGATGTTCCCCATAGATGTTCCTGGTGCATGCCGTCTCTCTCCTCCTTTATAGTCCTTCTCCGCCAATCCCAACTCGGCTGCCCACACGCCGAGTACGCTGCTCTCCTCCAATCAGGAGCAAGTCCTACAGTTTATTAGTTGAACTGGAGGCAGCTGGGTAGAAGCTGTTTTCTCCTCTCCCAGCACCATATTGTAGGAGAGCAGATGCATAGAATAAGTCTTAATTCCAGTAACAGTCTAGTCCGAGCTGCTCCCCACAGAGGAGAGCAGATGCATAGAATAAGTCTTAATTCCAGTAACTTAGTCTAGTCCGAGCTGCTCCCCACAACAGACAACAATCATCATCCGTCTCCCTCTCCATCTCCCCTTTGAGGTTCTCAGCCCTGGCGCCAGGGACCTGCACATCCCAGGCCCAAACTGCAAATGGCAAAGGCAGACCGGGTTCCAAAAACGCGAAATTCACCACATCTCTTTACGAAACCAGATTTATTAAAATTTCTCTACAAGTCAGAAATGGCTGTCTCAAGGTTCACATATGTACACATGTACAGGAAGGGTCTAGTGTTTCTAGCTTTCCCGGCAGAAGCCTCGGCCAGCCCAGAATGTATCACAGACACGACAACAACCACAAGAGCGTTAGTGCGACAGACGCCTGCCCTCCCTCTTCCAGTCCCACGGCTCTGTCGGGGCAACGCTGCCAACAGTCATTCACATTCACGTGGCTTTTAGACACGCGGGTTATTCAGACAGACAAGACAACACGACGAGCCTAACGACACCGGACAGTATGTATAAAAGGTCAAATATATGTACAAAGTACACAGTACGTGAGGTATACGCGGCATTCTCACAATGCAGGTTAGTAGTTTAGTTTGCCTCGGCGTAGCCCTTAAAGCTGGCTGCCTGTTTTTGTGCCATTTCTCTAAATACAGTATGTTTGGTTTACCCGTGTAACCACCAGATTCCAGCACTGTCCAAAACAGTGGCGGATGTTTCATCTGTACTTGTTTAATGCAAAGTTGCAGTTTCTCCATGAAGCTCCTCTCTCTTGGGGGGCGTTTGGATCCCCCGGGGTGAGAAGAGCTGAGGTGGGGGAGAGGAGAGAGAGGAAGGGGAGGGGGCGGCATATTTCTGTGTTGGGAGGTGGCAGAAAGAGGTTGGCCCTCAAAGATCTGGGGCTTGCTCTCCCACCCCAGCAGCTGATCAGAGGGATCTACTCCTACACCACAGCACAAGGGAAATAGGGACACACCCTCATGCCAAACTGCAGGCACACAAACACTGCCGGAGGCAGAGCACACCCCGAGGGGCCCAAGCAAATTCCGGAAGTTGGGCTGAAAGTCTCCTAAGACTATCCAACGATCCCTCTCTCCAAAGCACAGAGATGCTTCCTGTTTGCACTGGGACTGGGAGACGGGGAGTCTCCTACTCAGCCTCCTCCTCCCACACGAAGCTCCACCCTTAGATGGCCTTGGGGAAAAAGGGTAAGTACTAGCGTACTTGGGCAGAACCTAGAAAGCTAACAATCCCCAAACACTCAACTTATTTTTAAAACTCTGCAGTCTCTTTGAGCTCAGGTCTTTTGGGCAATCAGCTGGTAAGTGCTTTTATAGCTATGGGGGCGGGCAAGGTTTCAAGGGCGGGGAGAAGGTATTGGTGCAGAGAGGGTCTGGGTTCAAGGTGCGGGCGGGCTCCTGAGCTCCTAAAACAGTGTGCTCCAAAAAGCAGAGCAGAGTCAAGGGTAAAGTGTGAGTGTGGAAAGGATGAGTGTTAAAACAAACCAAAAGAACTTTCCGATTCGAGAAGCTGCGGTAGCAACGTCAGCTACCAAAGATGAGTTCCAAGATGCTAGGTTTATTGGCCCAAACTATCCGTCACCCTGTTCAGATATGGTTATTGCCACCCAAACTGCCGTCGTGCGAGCTGTATCATCTTCCACTCGAACGCTCAAGTTCATTCCGCTCGAACACACGGTGGAGGATGTCCAAGCTCTCTGCCACCTACCAAAGTTGCAGCACCCCCAGGTGTCACAGAGGGGCGCTGGCGAGGGTTCATTCAGAAGGGGAACCACTTTGCAGGTGCAGCCAATCAGTGTCAGCAGCCGTTCAACCCAAAGAAGGCCGGCAGGTGCTATGGTGGTTTTCAGCAGTGCCGGACCCCCGAGGCGGTCCCCTATCTGGTTGGCGCCACGCCCAAGGGCCTGTCCGTCTTTAGAACTGGAAATGCCATGTGTGAGAATTTCGAGGTTTCTGAGGTTTTCGGGATTAGCAGAAGAAGGAACTCATGTCACTGTCCTCCTGGAACTCGGGCACAGTCTGGTCTGCGGCTCCCATTTCCGCGTCGACGTAGCCGGGTTCCAAGGCGGATTCGAACCAGGGATGGAGCAGGATCTCGGGAGCCGTGAGTCTCTCGGAGGGCTCCCGTCTCAGGAGGCTGCGAATGAGGCACCTGGCTTTGGGGGAAATGTGCTCTGGAATGCAGAACTGTCCACGTCGGATTTTGGAGAAGAGGGCGCTGGGGTCTGAGTCGTGGAAGGGGTATCGTCCGACCAACAGGGTGTACAGCATCACCCCGAGGCCCCAAACGTCCGCCGCCTTCCCGGAGTAGGTCCCCGTGGTGTTGAGAATCTCGGGGCTCACGTAGGCTGGACACCCGTGCTTGTCCGACAAGGCGTCGTCTTCCCCCTTGATGATGTGGGTATCTTCCAGACTTTCCAACCTGAGCTGGGTCCTGCCGGCAAAGAGGAACCAAGGCGTTACTTCCAGATCGGCACCCACAGGCACAAACAGCAAAGGCCTCGCGAGTGCCACTCACCCCTTCATCCAGTAAGCAGTGCCCTGCAAGCGCCCAGGACTTGGGATTTCACAAGGCAATGCGCACTGCAATAACTGCAAGGTAGCGAGAGAGCACCCGGGGTGGAGGGCATGAGGCAAAGCCCCAAATAGCATTCATGATGCTGGAGCTCATAAGAGAGAGCCTAATGGGGGTTACGCAACTGACAAAGTTCACATCGCTTGCTGTCCCACCCGGAGCTTGTCTCGGGGGAACGCTGACATTTTCTACAAAAGCTACCGGAGGAAGAACAGGGAATCCTTCAGGGCACAAGCATCCTACAAACCCATCTCTTTTACCACTCCACTGACTGCCGGGGCCACCAGGACACACGCTCTGCCTTACAGAACCCACAGCCCACCGTCATCGTCCTCACGCACGGCCCAGCTGCCCACACCGATACAGACCCACAGGAGGAACTCTGTCCACCTGGGCCCTGCCTGGGATGGCCATGATGGGAAAGTTGCGAGGAATGTTAATTACATTTATTGGGGGTGTTTAATTGCAAAGAATGCTTGGCCTGGACGGGAGAAAGAAACAGAAATGGCTGGTGGACTTGGTGGGGTGTAGGGCCCCTAAAACTCTTCATACGTACACACACACACACACGTCCTTCCTAGAATGGCACGCCAACACGCAGGCATATTTACAGTATACGGGGGTCTCTGTTCAGGTAACAGCCAAACTTTGACAACCTTTGAGCCGCAAGGCTGTCTCAGGTGTCTCATTCAGCACTGGCCACCCAAGTACCCAAGATCCCCCACAGCCAGGTGGGGACTGCCGCCATCGCTGGCAGCCTGCTTTTCCTGCGTTTTCTGAAACACTTCCAACTTCACTAAGTCCCTTGTTACAAATTTCCCTGATGCAAACATGTAGTCCTGGCTGATGGGTCAATTCCTTTTCCTCTTAAAGGTCTGCTGGTTTGGTTCTGTTGTTTCTTTTTTTTTTTTTTTTTTTTTTTTTTCCTTCCTGCCTTCCTGTTCCCTGGAGTGTAGTATGCATGTGCTAACTTCGGTATGTCCTCAGCATGACCTCCTAGTCGTTATGTAAAATACCCATTGGTTCTGTAAACGGAAAATATGACTCAACGCACACTGTCTGCTCCTGATTGGCCGCTGTAGCACTAAAACCCTGCACCTGTGCTGGTTACACGACTAGCGTCAGCCTGCCATTGCTTAACCCTCGGGTTGCCAAACCCCGTGCCCATGACATCTGCCTGTGCAATGCAGATTTCAAAAGCTAGTAAGGAGGTGTGTAAGGCATGTTTCAGAAAAATGCCTCTCCGTATCAAAGGAGCATATTCCAGGAATTGGAAACCTCTCCATTGCCAACATTACGCCTTTCTTTGCTAATCAGTATGTACCAATAATTATTGCAAGGGCAGATAAAAAGTCGGGCTGCCTGGCAACTCACCCCCGTACTTTTTAGCGCGCACTGGAGTGACTGATAACACATGCAGTGAGAGATTCCACGTGGGGGAAGCACTGTGTGAACACAGACAACAAAATAACTCACTCCCACATCTACAAGTCTCTTACTCCTCCTAGTCTTCCCACAAGGGATGCGAGCCACCTCTTAAAATCAGGTGCCCCCCCACCATGCATCTTCCTGCACTCTGGTTCTGGAACCTCCACTCTGAATCTAAATGCCTCATTATGCTCTTATCAGCCTCATCTCGTCCTTTGTGAGGTAAGCCAGGAGCTATATTTAGCAATCAATTCTAGCCAACTTCCATTTATTATTCAATGCGGCTATTTTCTGAAGGTGAATCCAAACCGGATTATCTTAAAAAGTCACAGGGAAATGTGAAGAAAGTATGGGGAGCCCAGCCCAAGATGGGAAAAAAAAAAAAGGCAGAGTGAGATTCTGCAAACAGGACAGCCTAGCTCCGTCACACCTTCAAGGTACAAAAACAAGACTTGCAAACTTCCTGTAGAACTCGGTCATCGTGAAGGGCAAAGTTGATGCTCCTACCCCAGAAGACTGAGCTGGTGGACAGCGATGGGGACTAGGCCTGGTCCTGGGGGTAGAGCACCCTGCCGCTAAGTGACATCCGCAGAGGCACCAAGGTGTCTCCAGACCCCACCCCCGAGAATGCAGAATAAACCAACCTTGGCCGTGACTCCTCAGGACTTCTACAACTACCTCTGGGACAACTGAGCCCTTGGTTTTGCTGTGCACCAACACACTGCACCCAATTGCACGACCCGTGCCTTTACTTGGGTTCCAATAGGCCACAGGAGGAGGCGCTGTGGCGGCTGCTCACCTCTCCTCCGTGGAGAAGACGAACTTCCTAAGCTTCAGGTCCCCTAGCACGATGGCCGACTGGTGGCAGTGGGCGACAGCAGAGACGATCTGCTTGAAGAGCCTGGCGGCCTCCTCTTCCCGCAGCCTCTTCCGGCTTCGCACGTAGGAGTGCATGTCCCCGAAGTCCTTCTCAAAGAAGACGTAGGCCTTGGTCTCCCCAAGGATCACTTCCACGATGCCGGTGATGTTCCTGTGTGACGGCAGCTGGATGTAAGGCCTGATTTTGTCCTGGTAGTGTTTAATGGGAAACACCTGCGGAGAGAATGGGGCGGGGTGCTTAGGGGGCTGAGAAAGGCGGAGGCTAGCTCCCAGATCCCCCAGGGAGCCGGACTGAAGTGCTCCATCTCTGGGCTTTGGGGAAGCTCTATGCATGTGGCTTCCTTATCTCTGATGCTGCCCCAGGGACCCCTAGTACCCTCACAGCCAGTGACATCTAAGGCTAGCAAGCATCCAGAGAGCTACCCCCCCCCCCATGAGCGGTTTCAAAGAACAGTCTTCTGTGCCCGCCTGTCAGTCTTCTCCAGGGACCCTGAGAGCTAAGCCCCCAGAGCTCCCACCCACTGGGGCCCTTCCCGGTTTGCAGAGCACGCGGGCAAGGGCCTGCAGGAAGTGCATGTGTCTCCTGCAAAGGCAAAGGGTTCAGCCCAGAGAAGGCACCGGCCCGTGACTCCGCAGCCTCCCAGGGGAAGCGGGGGCCACAGAGCTGTCAGAAGGAACAAATGACTTGGCTGGACAGCCTGTGACCGGGCAGCACTAAGCGACCCGCCTGCCGTGTGACTCAGGTGCAGCCAGTTCCCACAGGTGGGGTACTGGACCGTCCCAATGGTTTTTCTTTGTTCCATTGTTTGTTTAGGCCCCCTCCCACCCACCCCGCTCCAGGAACCGGCAGCATCTCCCCTAAGAAGCTGGCAGGTCTCTTTAAGGGCCCTCTGTTTAGTCCGGTTACTCATATCCTAGACTCAACTGGAAACGGTGACACACGGGCTGTCACCATCTGGATTCAGCTATTATCTGCTTGGAGGAACTGGAAGGGGTTGCACAACGACCAGACCCACCCCACCTCTGAGGCCTGGCTGCCTCCTGCTGCTGCCTCTCCGCCTCCTATCCCACCCCACAGCACACACACACACACCCGCTTTCCCCAGAACAGCTCTCAGCCCCAGTCACCGAAAAAGGTTTCTCCCCGCTTAAAAACCTGGGCTTGGTTGTACATTTGCAATTTCATAAGGGTAGGACGGTAGGTGGCAGCAGCAAGCCCTGGAGGAAGGTTGGGGGGCGGGGGCAGAGGGGCGTCAGGTGAGTTACAGAAAATCCAAGAGCAAGTTTAACTTGGGGGCGCCCAGCCCGGGTGGGCGGAAGGCGGCTCCTCAAGGGGAGCCTGCGACCGCAGTGCCAGCCTCCAGGGGCGGGGACGGCCGCGGACCCGGCGGGTTCTGCCTGTCCCAGTGCCACCTCCTCCTCCCTGCGGTGCAAATGCAAACCGCTGACCGGAAAATAAAGTGAATGGAAGCGAGGACGCCTAGCGGGCGGGGGGGGGGGGTTCCCCACTTTCCGACTCCGGGCAAATTCCCCCCGCCGCGGCTGGAAGACCCCCCGCCCCGGACCGGCCCTGGGCAGGGCGGTGTTCGCGTGCCAGCGCGGGCTCCCGTCGGAATCCCCAGGGCACGGGCCGGCCCAGGTCTTCCCAGCCGCAGCGGAGCCCCGGCGAGGGGGCGGCCGGCTGCTCCCGGCTCCGAGCAGGCACCCACTGCGGGGCGTCCTTCCAGGGCAAGGGCGGGCGGGCGGGGCGGCGAGGAGAATGAGAGAAGGGGAATGGCATGGCCCTGGAATCCATTGCAATTCCACAACTTATATGGGAACGCCACGCGCTAAACTCAGCGCCAAGCAAGGACTATAAAGCAATTGAACCCTGCACTTCCGCTTGCCTGCGAATCCCCCCTTTACACCTCTCTCCAAAAGGGTGAACTCGGTCAATGGCCGCCTGGTCGGGCTCCCCGCACCAACCCGCCCTGCCCCCAAGCCCCCCGCGTCGGAGGGACGTCGGGCACCGCGTCCCGCGCCCCCGATCCCCCCGCCGGGTGCTCCCCGGGGCGCCTACCTTGCAGCGCAGCTCGCGGCCGGTGTGGATGCACAGCGCCCGGGACACATGCTCGCGCTCGGCTAGGGGCAGTAGCAGGTAGTCCGCGATGCGGCTGGGCCCCGGCGCGCTCCCGGAGCTGCCGCCGGCTCCCGGCGCGGCGGGCAGGGGCTGCGGGCTGCACGGCGAGCCGGGGGGGCTGAGGTAGTCCGGGGGGCTTGGGCACTCGGAGAGTCGCGGGCACTTGGCCGCCGCCGCCACCGCCGCCGCCGCGTCGTCCGCATCCAGCAGCCGTTTGGTCGGGGTGCCCCGAGCGGCCGGGAGCAGCAGGGCCGGGCCCCGGGGTTGCGAGGCGCCGCTCATGGAAGAGCGCACGGGACCGGCCCGCATCCCGTCCCCGGCCGGGGCGGTCCCGGCTTTGTAAGTCCCCGGATCCGCGCAGGAAGGCGCTGCGGGCTCGGCGAGGGCGCCGCGACTTCTTCCAGCCCGCGGGATGGAGTTTGCAGAGCGGGCTTGGCTCGGCCCCCACAGGGGCCACAGCGGGAGTGGCTGCTCGGCGCTGTCGGGTGCACACGCGGAGACCACGCTGGCTCAGCGGCCGGGGGGCGGAGGCCGGCTCAGGTCCTCGGACCCCCGCGGCCGCCGACTTGGGGCCCCCTCGCAGGGGGCGGCCGCCGCTATTGTTGCCGAGGCTGCCGACCGTCCCAGAGGCGGCGGCGGCCTGCGTTCCCGGGGTCCCGGGCCACGAGCACAGGATTCCGCGGGCTGCGCAGAGCCGCGGAGCCAATGCACGTCCCGGAGCAATCAAAGCCGGAGCAACTTTTCCGCGGCGCCCGGGGGTCCTGCGCGCGCTCCTGGACTGCGGGCGTGTGCGAGCGGGCGCGACGCGCTCGGAGAGAGTGACTGAGTGTGAGTGAGTGTGTGCGCCGCGCCGATCCCGGCCAGCGCACTCCTCCTTCTCCTTTTCCTCCACCTCCTCCGCCTCCCGGTGACTCACGCTGTATACACACACACACTCACAGGCCGGCCTGTGTAAACAGTTGGGGAGCCGGGTTGTGCAATGAGGTGGCCGCGACGACTCCGGCTCCGCCACCCGGCGAGCAGTCCCCGGAGCGGAGGGAGGAGACTGGGGGGGAGGGGCAGGAGGCTGGGGGGCGGGGGGTGGCCCGCGGGCCTGGGATGCTCGGAGCGGCGCGCGCTCGGGCGCAGGTGGTGCGTCCCGGGCCGCCCGGAGCGCGCGCACTCGGCCCCCGGGCTGGGCAGGGCAGGAGGCGGCGCGCGCCCTCCTTGCAGGCCCCGGCTCCGCGCGAGCGGCCGAAGGAGGGGGCGGAGGAAAAGTTCCCGTGACGTCAGGGTCTCGGGGAAGTGGGCGGGAGGGCGGGGCCTCGGGGGGCGAAGCGGCCGCTGATTGGTGCGCGCGCCTCATTCACAGCGAGCACAATGGGCCGCGGGCACGCGCGGCGCGGTTCTCTGCACCCGCCGCTCGCTGCGGTCCCGCGGTTACGCCTTTGGCCCCGGGGATCCCCCCGCAGCCCAGCACCTGGGGAGCTCCGGTTGGAGCCGTGGGCGGCCAGGCTGCAGCCAGAGGAGAGGGGTGGGGGTGCGGAGGGAGCCTGGGGAGGGTGATGAGTTCCAGAGACAGTCATTCACCCCCACGCGGTAGTTCCGGGGAAGACCTGTGCGTGGTAGTGGATGTGGCTCCCCCCTCCCTTTTCCTGCCTCCTCCCAGCTCTAATCCCCAGCGTCTGTTCGCTTCCACAAATAGAACCTTCTGTTGGACGAAACGAAAGCAAACACGGGGCCTTCTGCGCCGCCTCCACCTCCTCGCCGCCCGGGTTGCACGGAAATAGCTTCTCCAGGCTCCCGGGCCGCCCCTTCGCGGTGACTCGCAGAAAGAGCTTCCTGAGCCGGGCGGGTGGGAAACAAAGGATGTGGGAGCGGGCGGAAGGGGCCCACGTGGCCGCGGCCGCCGGATCCCTGCCCCTCCCCGGGCCTCCGCACGCGCCGCGGAGTCTGGGGCGCGGGTGCCAGCCTGGGCATCGGGGTAGGTGGTGTGGAGGAGGCGGGGCAGTCATTGCGGCCACGGCCCCGCGGACGCTGCAGAGTGCTTAGGGTGAGCGCAAAGTGTGCGCCAGACCCTGCGCCGAGCTCCGTGAAAACAGCTCGGAATCGGAACCTGGTCAGTTTGGAGCCCCTGAACGCCCAAGGCAGGCGACCTTGAACTTCTGCTAAATCGTTAACTTTCTAAAACCAGGTAGAGCCCTAGGAATACATCCATTTCCTTATTAATTCTCCGTGCATTCAACAAACACTAAGCGTCTACTAAGGGCTAGGCGCTGGGGATTAATAGATGAAAATTAAAGCAGCAATAACAGCTCGAATTAGATGCGGCCTCCAGGGTGGGAGTCCCTGTGCCTAGCGTGGAACCTGTGGGACCACCACCACCTCCTCTAGTCCACGTCACGGAGGAAAACACTGAGACCCAGAAAGATGGGGAAATAGCTCACCAGTGGTGGAGCAATTGAGCACTTAACATCATTGGGGACCCAACAGAGAGATGGCAATTTGTAGGGGAAAAGAGGCATTAGGGAGGACTCAGAAGACCCTTGAGCTGGGGTCCAGTGGGACTGTGTGAGCGTTGCTCAGGTCCGGGTGGCTGTGAACAGTGCTGGTGGCCAGCCCAGGCAGGGGTGTAGGGAAGAGCCGGGTTGGCTGCAAGGGTGGTGGGGAGCTGAGCCAGCCCAGGCCGTCTGAGAGGTCGAAGGGAGGGCTCCAGCAGCACGCTTCGTTCTGTGGCCAGGAGGGAGCCCACCTATGCTCTTGGTCTTTCAGGGTTATTTTGTGCAGGAACTTAAGAGGCACTGAGCTGCCAGCTGCATGGCGTAGTTGGTGTGGTCCAGGGGCATCTTCCTCCAAGGTGTGTACCTTGTCTTCCTCTTCTCTGGGAATGGCACCCCTACCATTCACCAAGCCCCCGCCCACCCCCCAGGGCCAGACTTCTCCCTGGGGTCTGCTTTTCCCCCTCTCCGACAGTGGTCACTGGGTCCACCAGACCTGTTTGCCCCCAGGGCCATCCCCTCCCTGCCTCCCCTGCACAGCCCCCAGGGGTTGACCCTCGAAAGCTCTGTTTCCCAGGCCCTCTTGCCCACTGGCTTCCAGCCCAAGTTGCCGGGTGCAGGGCGCTGGAGGGAGCTTGGCAGGTGGGAGAGCGAGTGTGGCCAGGCCGCTTTGTCTCACTCTTCGCGTGGGGCAGCTGGCTGCCGCTCCTGTGTGGATCCAGTCGCTCTGGGCGGCGGCTGCGGTGCGCTGCCCACGTGCCCTCTCAGGACCAAAGGACTTCTCCTGCCGGCTCTGGACACGCGCATCAGGAGCCCTCCGGAAATGGCCTTGACTCGGAGCCACCTTGCCCAAGGTCATGCTGCCTCCCCATAGGGCCCACATCCGCTGCTGTTGATGGCAGAATAAAGGTTGGGTCCTTTTGCAGCGACTTGGGCCCCCTCTGAAGGGCACCCAGCTCCACCTCCCCCCAGTCCTGCTTTGTCTCTCTTCCCTTCAGGGCAAGCCCCCCGTAAGCCTCCCGCTGATCTCCTGAGAGTCCTCGCGCCCCCTCTTCATGGTCCCAGCCCGTCCCTGGGCCTCCTAGGATCAGGTGACACCACCATTGCCCCTCCAGCCCGCAGGTGGCAGCAACTTTCTAATCTCCAGGCGCCCCCCGGTTCCATGTTCTGCTTCTGCTCTCCCGGTACCTTTTTAACTCATTTCCCATGCTCAGCTGTTCCTCTCAAACTTCCTGGCTGGACTTCATTTTCCTACCCAGCCTCGCTCTGCTCCCATAATCATAGGAGTTCAGGACCTTCGCTTGGATTCCTGTAGTGCATTCCTACCTGAGTCACTCCCACATCCCTTGCACAGTGAGCACCTACCCGGTGCCGGCGCACCTACTGAGTGCTGGACATGCAGCTGTGCACAAATCCGAACGCGTCCTTTACCCTCGCAACCCCTCCCCCACACAGCTATCAGAGTAATTTTCCTAAAATTGGAATTTGATTGTATCGTGCCCTGGCCAAAAGCCCTGCAGGAAATCTCAGATAAAATCCAAACAGCACAATGTGGAGAAGTCGGCCGTCTTCCAGGCCCACTTCCCTCTCCGGCCTCCCTTACCGCCTCCCCACCCCTGCCTGGGAGGGCCCCCTCCCCACCTGCCAATCCACACCTCTGCAGTTTTACCTGTGCTGTTTCCTCCCACTGGCATCACCCCACCCCAACCCCTGCCTCCCCCACCAATGTAAGGAACTCTTACTCATCCTTCAAAACACCACCGCTCAGATGTCCCCAGCAGCTGCTGCCCGATGTACATGTCCCCCTGGGTGCTCCCAGTCCCTCCATCTAATCCTCCGAAGACGGCCACTTCAGAATCAAATGTCTGTATTGCCTTGGGAGGCAGCAGGCTGCACACTGTGGGGAGAGCAGGAGCTGAAACCCTGGAAGCCTGCAGTCCGCAAGCATGGGAAGCCTTGGCAGGGCCTGAGGTCAGGCGGGCCAGGGCCCAAGTGCACTGCCGTTGTCTGGACCCCGTGCTGGCGAGGTCGCACTGGGACTTCATCAGGCTTTTCAGAGACGGACTTAAAGGAGCCAGTTGCCCCTGATGCGCCTTGCTGCTGATGAGCCCAGGCCCGATTTGTCCCATTCATGCCACGCTAGGGTCGTGGCTGCCACCGTGGAAGGTTCTAAGGACCAACAAGGTTCTTAGGGAAGCAGATAGGTACACTATGCGAACAGCACTTTTGGGTTATCCACCCATACACAAGTGTGCGAGATTATCAGCTATGGGAACACCTTGATTTTAAACAATGTGTATGCAGTCAATAAGTACGCATTGTAAGCTTGCCATATGCCAGAATGGAAAAAGGTCTTTACTGTGGAAATCCAGGCAGACCAATACAAATATAGAAAGAAACAGGGTGTTAATTAGGAAGTAATTCTTCCCACATGAAAGAGTGTTTTGCTTTAGAAAGGGATGGACCACATGATGCCATCAGCAAGGTCCTTTGGAAACCAGAACCATGGTTGATGGTGTGTGTGTGTGTGTGTACACACGCATGCATGTCCTACGTAGCCTCTGCTCAATGCTTAGCTGACTCTGGGTGTTGAACTGGGAAAAAATTGATTTACCTCCAACTTTTCAGGAACCCGTGTATTGCATAACACAGGACAGCGTCTATTGATTTTTCTGGACAAGGTTGAGCTGCTGATGTGCTCAGCCCTGATTCATTCTCATTCACGCCCAGGTAGGGGCACAGCCGCATTGGTGGGAGGGCCAGAGTGTCCTGGACACTAACTATAGAGACATCCTCAGAGCTGCCCGGCTTCTGGCTTGCATCACCCTGCCTCACTTTGTGCAAGGCCTCACAACCCGATACGGTGGGTATGCGTTGGGTAGACCATGCTCCTTGATTGTAAATTACATTTAAAAAAGGAATATAACAAATTTAGACCATTTTTAGGAAGCATTTGTTGTGTTTCTCCCATATGCTA